TATACAGTGGACCTTCAGATATCCGGACGCCAGATATCCGGATGCTTCAGTATCCGGACGATTTGTGATTGTTACAGATTTTTTAAATGTTATTTTGCCTTGTTTAACTGGTGATTCAGGTATCCGGACACTTCAGATAACCGGACAAATTAACTGGGAACCAAAGCGTCCGGATAAATGAAGCTCCACTGTATTTAAAATATTTTAAATATTTTAAAAGTTACTTTCCCCCTAGGGCCTGAGGGGTGGATCTAAAAACCACAAAAATTATAATGCAATCTTAAAAATCTTCTTCACTCCAGTGGACAACAAGCAGTCAAACTGCTGGAATGATTGCAATAAGCAGTGAGCCCTCTACTGAAATTCATGGTCAGTGGTTCTGGTGTTAGGGTGGGGCTGAATAGATCATTTAATAAAAGTGCATTATTTATTTTGAAAATCTACTTCTATGCTCCTGGGTATTAAACAAATTAACTAAGTACATACTTATAATGACCAAGATCGAGTGCCTCTTCTAAAATTGTGAATTTAATGGCCCATGGGTCAGTAGTACTGGTGGTAGTGTGGGACTCGATTGATTAAATAGTTAAAATTCATTAATTCTCTGAAAATCGTCTTCTCTTCTCCTAGGTTTTAAACAAACTAACTAAGTGCATAGTTATGAAGAACAAGAGTTCTTCATCCAAGATTTTGAAATTCATTACTCCAGGGGTTGAACCGTTCTGGTGTTAGGGCGGGGCTCTATTGATTATACAATGAAAATGCATTAATTCTTTAAACATCTTCTCCTCTGCTCTTGGGTATCAAATAAACTATCTTGGCATATAGTTAAAATGAAGAAGAGTGCCTCTTAAAAAATTGTGAATATCATGGCCCCTGGTTCATTGGTTGTGGTGTAAGGGGGGTCTCTTTTGATTATATGGTGAAAACACATTAGTTCTGGGTATTAGACAAACTAACTATATAGGTATGATGACCAAGAGTGCTTCTTCAAAAATTGTGAATTTCATGGACCCTGGGTCAGGGGTTCTGGTGATATGGCGGGGCTCTAAGGATAATATAGTTAAAATGCATGAATTCTCTGAATTGTCTTTCTTTTGCTCCTGGATATTATGCCAATATTTAAGTATACATGTATATATTTATGATGAAGAAAGTTGCATCTAGCAAAATGTTTAATTAAAGGGCTCCTGGATCAGGGGTTCAGGAAGGGGGCCTGAAAATAAATTACTCGGCAATACTTTGAAATTTGCCCTTTGGTATTAATCAACCATTTATGATGAAATAAAACTTTGTAAAAGTTTGTAATATGTAGCCCCAGGGTCAGTGGTTCCTGTGGGGTGGGGTGTACAACTGGTTAAAAGTTGAAATGCATTTTCTCTTTGTTACTCTGATCTACTTCTGGTTATTAAGTAGTAAGCATGCTAAGAGTATACTTCTGATAAGCAATACTGCCTCTTTCAAAATTGTGAATTTCATGGCCTAATGGTTTAAAATACAAATCGAATTCAATTATTTAAAAGTTGTTACATGATACTCAGGTGACCTATAAGGTCCGTGGGCCTCTTGTTTTCAAAATATGTTCATCCAACTTGACCTGCTTGTTCGCAAACTGAAAACTATTAATATTTAAGATTGCTACACAGAAACACTTGCTGCATAAGAAAAAAAATGAAATTTTAGAATTTTAGATAAATCATACCCAAACGTTTAATTATGTGAAGAACATCAGAAAGTCTGAAAGTTGAGTTCAGTGCTAATTATTATGGTTCCTTTGAAAAAAAGTAAATCATATTGCTGCTGTTTGTTGGTCTACCAAGAGTTTTCGTTTATTTTATTCGCTTATAATAAAAGTAAATTCGGTGAACAACTTTATAATGAATATAAGATTCAAAGAAGGGCATATTGCATTGCTGCCGTCTGCTCTACCAAGTTTCCATTCATTTTCTCTGCAGAGGTTGCACCTAATGGAATGAAATTTGGTATACAGATTTATATATGATTATCTAGATTAAGTTATATTTTGGGTATTATTGAACAATTCTTGACAGACAGAGTTCACTTGAACTCAGAACTCAGAAAAAATGGAATATTTATTGCACTTTCCGTCAATTATCTGTGCAGAGGTTGCACCTACTGAAATAAAATTTAGTATACTTATTTTTAAAAAAAATATATCTAGATTAAATTCTGTTTTGGGTGTGATCAAGCAATTTTTGACAGAGTAATATGAGTTATGCTAGTTGAACTTGAAAATTCAATTATTGGCAGTTTCTGTTCATTTTCTGTGCAGAGGTTGCACGAACGGAAATGAATACAAATTTATCATAAGAATATTAAACTTTACTTCTGCTTTGGGTATGATCGAACAATTTTTATACGCCCGTCTTAAGACGGGACGTATTATGTTATAGGCTTCGTGTCCGTCCGTCTGTCCGTCTGTCTGTTAGCTTTTTCGTTTCCGGCTCATAACTTTAATACTACTAGGCCTAAGATTATCAAACTTTGTCATCTGATGCATCTTGGGTAGAAGGTGTGTCGCGCACAAAAAGTAGGTCGCTCTGACTTTTAATTAAGAAGTTACAGCCAAATATGGAAAAATCCTTTCTGGCCCATAACTAGAAAACCATAAGACCTACAATCATCAAACTTGGCCAGTTTATGCATCTTAGGTAGAAGGTGTGTCGCGACCTATTTCAAGGTCACTGTGACCTTTAATTTAAGTGAATTTTTTTTTAAAAATGTGTCTTTTTACTATTCATTTACACATCCCAAATAATGTAAGAGTATTGCACTGTTCTTATTAAAAAAGTGTTAAATCAAGAAAATACTTATTTTTTTAAGCATATACTTGACAGCAATCTAAAACAAATATAATGTATGTTAGAGAATCCCATGTCTCCCATGAGTGTAATTATTAAGCACTGGTCAAGAAGAATTTTGATAACAGAAAATTGCATGTCAAATTAGAGAGAAATTAATGGGTTTTGAGTGCGAGGAGCTAACTGACAGAGCATTGGTGTTACAGTAAAACTCGGTTATAACGAAGTCGCTGAGACCTATAAAATCACTTCGCTATATCCGTAATTCGTTAAAACCGTATAAGAAATTCATTAAATTTATATAGGTGGGGATCCAAAATGACTTCGCTATATCCGTAAATTCGCTATATCCGTGTTCGTACTAAACGAGTTTTGCTGTATCTATATCCCTTGAGAATTGGGCAAATGGGTAAGCCTGTTTGATTAAAAATAGCTCTTGTTGACTAGCTTAAGTTTTGAAATGAATTTGATGAAAAGTAATTAAAACTAATTTGATATTGCATAATAGACTAATCTGATATTAATATGTAATATTATTGATTTAAAAACTAATTTTATGGATTGGGGTTGAATCAGCATGTCCATATGAATTACATTATTAAAACCTGTCGGACATTAAATCTCAACCAAAAAAAAAAAATCTTTGAGTATTTTATATGTTTTTAAAAAAAATTTATAGAAGATAGTGCAGACCCATTCATCTCTTGGTAGTAATGAGTAGACAAGCATCCAGTTGAAGATTAATTGATGAATTCAATGTAGGAAGGCTAGCTGTCTCAGTCGCTCTGATTAAGCAGCCCTTTGAGGATTAGACAGAAGAACTGCTGGTCAGTTTATAACATATGTCATTTGATGGCCATCCTTTTCTTTTCAAAATTAATTTGGTATAGATTAAGTTGTTAAGACTAATTTGATGATGGGCATTTGACAAGGTCCAACACAACCAGCACAGAAATCTATCAGTGATGTAATATTTATTATAATTGATGCCTACATCACAGGGGATGGATAAATATTTTAAGGAATGGAAAAATCATAGAAATCTTAGAATCAAGGTTGATGTGATTTTCTTGCACCTAAACTGTTCAAGAAAATTGTAATTTTTTGACGGGCGTATCATGCTGTGGCGCGGCACTTTATTGAAAAAGTAATGGTCATTGTTTTAAAAAGAAATCCAAAATGCAGTTTCGGTTCATTTCCTTTTGCAGAGATTGCAGTTTGGTATATAGATTTATTATAAGATTATCTATGTCAAGTTGTGTTTTAAGTATGATCGAACAATCTTTGACAGAGTTATGACCTAATTGCATCGTCTCGAGTCTTTCCGTCAGAGGTCGGAAAAACAATCTCGAATGTATTAACACAATCGGATAATAAAAAAATTATACATTTCCTGTTTATTCAAATATACTGTAAATCACTTTTTATTCGCGAGAACTTAATTTTCGCGTAATTATGCGGGACAGTCTGCTGGCGAAAATTTCATTCTCGCGTATTTTAGTTTTTCTTAAGATTATATAAAGCAGTAATCACAATTTGTGAAAATTTTGTCTCGCTAATAAAGAGTTCATGGACACCTCGCGAAAATAAGGTGTCGCGAAAATTAAGTGATCTACAGTATATGATAGACGGAGTTAGAAGTCCCGTAAGTAGTATATATTATGTAATATCGTTACATTGAATAAAGTTAAACTCCATATTCCACAGATAAAAGATCTCTATGCATTTATTTCAAAAATCGTGAAAAGGGGGGTTGTCATGGTGTCTACCTCATACATTCGAGGTCGTTTTTCCGCTAGTCGGGAAGGCCCGAGAAGTTGCGATTGAGTTATAACCTTGGACTTAAAAATTCCAATTATGGGATAGGACATGTGTTTCACAAACATTTCATATTATAAGTATATCTGCGTTTTAAGTTTTATTTTAGATGTTATCAAGCAATTTTTGTCAGAGTTATGTCCCTTGGACTCGGAAAAATCCAATAACCGGTATTTCGGAAGGAGGCATATATTTTTCACAAACATCTGTTTTCATTCTTGGGGTCAATTCTCTGTATGCATTTTAAGTGATAGGGGGTAGTACAGTTTTTAAAAAATCCCTTTTCTTTCCAGAAATGCAGATTACAATTTATGGAAATTTAAATGTATGTTGATAATTATTTTGTTTTATATTTTTCAGAACATGCCAAGAAAAGGAAAGAAGTCAGTCAAAAGAAAGGCATCTGAGCAGCGATTCAGAATGCAGGAGAGGAGGGCTCAGGCCACTGAACAGAGCAACATCTCTATAAAATGTCCAAAAGAGAGCAACACCTCTATAAAATGTCCAAAAGAGAGCAACACCTCTATAAAATGTCCAAAAGAGAGCAACACCTCTATAAAATGTCCAAAAGAGAGCAACATCTCTATAAAATGTCCAGAAGAGAGCAACACCTCTATAAAATGTCCAAAAGAGAGCAACACCTCTATAAAATGTCCTGAGAGCGTCACCTCTATAAAATGTCCAAATCAAACAGAGAATAAAAAGAGCAACACCTCTATAAAATGTCCAAACCAAATAGAAAATGACAAAAAGGCTTGTGAAACAAACAAATTGAAGAGAAATAGACAAGAAACAGAAAATCTGAACAAAAATGCAAGTACATCTTCGCTGAAGCTTCGTAAGTTTGATAGAGATGAAAACGGAGTTAATTCTGTCATTGAAGAAAACAAAGTGGTAGTACAAGGTAGTTTTCATCAAGGTGATGTAAGATTTGGAAGAAATAGTGGAAAGCAGTGTGTTGCTAACAGTTTGTCAGCAATAGCTCATAGTAAATTAAAAGATTTAGATGAATGGGACCAAACCTATCTGGACAATGTCCTTATTGAAGGAAATGAGATTTATACTTGGATTCATGGAACAAATGACTTGTTGTTGATGTCAGATCTACCGGAAATGATTGAAATATCAGGAAAAATGATGCACATTAGAAAAAAAGACTCAATCACGGCAACAATTGACACTACAGGAACTATTGACTTCAGCGCTTTCGATAATTGTCTGCCATTAGACTTGGCAATACAAGAATCACTCATAGAGTCTGATGGATGTTTCATATGTGCAATTGATAAAACGTTTATGGTTATGAAATACAACCAAAATTTATATTTATTTGATTCTCACTCTAGAAACAAGTTTGGTGTCGTTGATGCAAATGGGAAAAGTTTATTGATGCAATTACAAGACTTTGATCATTTATATCAATATTGCTGCAGTATGGTGCTTGGTGTAAAGCAAACAAATCAGTGGTTTGAAGTGACTGGTGTAAGTGTCGAGATTAATCAAGGTTCTTCAGCTGAAACCGGTCTACATTACAAGAAAGCGGAAGACAAGGTCAAAAATACTCCTTTGAAAAGTTTTACAGTAAACTTTGAGCATGGAAATCAAGAACACAATTCCTTAGAAATCTCTTCATCAGATATAGAAATTGTGCAGCAAAAGAGAAACGCAAATCACGATCAAACGAATGATCCAAAAGAACAATCATCAGATGTTGAAATTTTGTCAGAAGATTTCGAATGTCAAATATATGATTTTAATCCACTTACAGCTAGAATAAAAAGAGAATTATGTTCTACCCTGAAGATACCTTCCAAAAATGTTTCTACTTCGCAGTCTGGAAATGTTTGCAATATGGGACCTCCAAAAGCTACGAAACCGATAAAAGGTGATGGAAACTGTCTGTTTAGAGCACTTTCATATGCAATATCAAACAGACAAGAGTATTATCATAAAGTAAGATGCGCTGTTGTCAACCATTTGAAGGGGTCAGCAAAGGAACTAGAAACATTTTTACGTCCAGAATATGAATCTATGGAACAATATGTCGAGACCTCGGGAATGGAAAAAGATGGTACTTGGGGCACAGAGCTAGAGATTTTAGCAGCTGCAGATCTATTGAAAACAGATATCTATACTTTTTTGAACGGAACATGGATTAAGTACTCATCTTCGCAGATTTGTAGTAGCAATGAAGTAAGAATAGAGTCAATTTACCTAAAACATATTGGTGATGTTGGCCATTATGAGTGTGTTACGTTTGTGACGAGTGGAAGCAATTACAATAAAACGAGTGCTTTGATGACAAAACGTTCAAGACCAGAAAAAAGAGAACAGAAAGATCAAGGGAATGTCTCTTTACAAAAACGGAGAAGATATGAAAGTTGCATGAAGGACAATGATGAAAACATAGAATTATCAAAAACAGAAAAGGAGAAGGAAAAGTATAGAACATGTCAGGGATTTAGAGATAGAAAAGCAAACAGTTCAAAACACAGATATAAAACGGACTTCAAATATAGAGAAAGTGTTAAAAAACGAACAGCAAACGGTTATGAAAAAGATGACAAATACAGAGACAAACTGAAGAGAGCAAGCAGGACTAAGTATAAAAAAGATCAGCCTTTCAGGGAAAAGGTAAAAGAAAAAGCTAAGACTGACATCAAGGAAAAATATAAAAATGACGATGAGTTCAGAGAAAAACTTAAGAATGCAAGCAAGGAGAAATATGAAAATGACAACGATTTCAGAGAAAGAGTCAAGAATGCAAGCAAGGAGAAATATGAAACTGATTACGATTTCAGAGAAAGGGTGAAGAATGTGATGAAAGATAAATATGAAAATGATGCCGATTTCAGAGAACGAGTGAAGAAAGCAAACAAAGAGAAATATGAAAATGACAATGATTTTAGAGAGTCTGCGAAACAACAAAGCAAAATGAAGTATGAACAAGATGAAGTGCAAAGAGCTAAAGTAAAACAAAGAGTTACTTTGAGCCGAAATAACAAGAAAGAGGAATGCAAAGACATTGAAAATGTTATAGAGAAATTTCGGGAAGAAGTTAAAAATGGACCGGATTATGTTTGTGCTTGTTGCTTGCGACTGTTTTTTCAAAAGCAGGTACTATCATGTACAACAGAAAAATATGACAATATGTTAGTTGAAATATGCATCTCTGAAAAATATTTGCATAGATGTAAAGATGTCTGTACCTCGGATTGTGCACACAAAGGGACAAGTAGATCAGAACTGTGGATTTGTTATACATGTCACAGAAAGTTATCAAAAGGTAGCATACCAGCTGAATCATTTTCAAACAATCTTGAATTAGAGGAAGTTCCAAGAGAGCTTGGCTGCATGAATACTTTAGAGCAACACTTGGTAGCACGAAATATACCTTTCATGAAAATACTTGGTTTACCAAAGGGAGGACAGAAAGGTGTACACGGTCCTGTTGTTTGTGTGCCATCTGATTTACAGAAAGTTACAACCACTTTACCAAGATCAGAGGACGAAAATCTTCTTCTCAAAGTAAAATTAAAGAGAAAATTAAGTTACAAAGGGTATGAAGAATACCAATTTGTGAACACACAGCATTTGAGAGAAGCCTTATTATTCTTAAAAAGGGAAAATGTTTGGTATTCTGATATCCAAATAAATGAGAACTGGCTAAATCCAATTCCTGAGGAAAATGAACCAGAAAATAATGTTGATAGCGAAGATGAATCCAATTCTGTGGAAATGACAGTGTCTCCTAATGTTTCAGAGAATAATGGCAATCAAAATTCAAATGGCGTAGATTGTGATGAGCCAGAATCTTTTCTTGATAAAAACCTGCAAGGCATACAGTTAGACACTTGTTTGCAGCCAGCTGACATAGGGCAAGAAATAATGGATTTGTGTTTTGACAAAGTATTTGAAATTTCACCCTCAGAAGGGAACAATCCTGTATCTATTCTTGAAGAAGAAGGTTTAGAGGCAAAAACATTTCCTGTCCATTTTCCAACAGGAAAGAACACATTTTCTGAAGAACGAACAGAAGCATTAACAATTGGAAAGTACTTTAACATTCGTTTAATGAGTGTGGAGAACAGATTTGCAAAAGATACGTCATACATATTTTTTTGTCAGTACTTATCTGAATTGAAGAGAGTGATTTCAAACGTACAGATTTCTCTGAGGAAAGAATCAGCATTTTCATCAGATGGCAGTAAAATTACAGGGGAAATGTTGTGTGATCGTAAAATTTTGAAAGAACTCTTTAAAAAGGACGAGGCAATAAAATTTTTGAAACCAGTCAGAGGAACACCACCATACTGGCAGGCCGCACAGAAAGACATTTTTGCAATGATACGCCAGTTAGGAATTCCTCAGTTCTTTTGTTCATTTTCTTCAGCAGACTTCAGATGGACAGAAATTGTTCAAACAATACTTAAACAGCAGGGTGATACAAGAAAAGCTGATGATCTTTCATGGGATGACAAATGTAAAATTCTGCGTAGTAATCCAGTCACTGCAGCTCGAATGTTTGACCAGAGGTTCCATACTTTTCTTAAAAATGTCATCATGTCAGAAGCTGAACCAATTGGAAAAGTCATTGACTATTTTTACAGAGTTGAGTTTCAGCAAAGAGGATCTCCACACACCCACTGTTTATTCTGGATAGAAAATGCCCCAAAATTTGAGGAAGACTCTAATGAAAAGGTTACCGAGTTTATTGATAAATATATTACATGCGAAATACCAAATGAGCATGAAGACCCAGAGTTATTCAGTATTGTTATGGCCGTGCAGCAACATAGCAAAAACCATTCAAAGTCATGCAAAAAACGGGGGACAGCCTGCAGGTTTAACTTTCCTAGACCACCGTCTGAAGAAACATTTATTTCAAAACCAGAGCAAGATATAGAAAAAAATGATGAACATTTGGCCAAAGAAAAACTGTCACTGCTGTGGGATGCTGTGAAAACCAATGAAAATCAAAATATATCTGCATCAGAACTTCTTCAGAGAGCAGGGTTGACCCAGAATGAGTTTGAGAAATGCTTTTGTTACATTACGAAAAGAAATACAGTTGTACTCAAAAGAAATTGCAGTGAAATATTCACAAATCAATACAACAAGCATCTCTTGAGAGCCTGGAATGCAAACATGGATATTCAGTACATTTTAGACGCTTTTTCTTGTGTTGTTTACATCATCAGTTACATAAGTAAAGCCGAGCGTGAACTAGGATTACTACTGCAACAGACGAAAAATGAAGCAGTTGAAGGAAACCTTAATGCACAAGATGCTATGAAGAAGGTTGGCACGGCTTACTTACACCATAGGGAAGTGAGTGCACAAGAAGCTGTTTATAGAGTTACTGGGTTACGACTGAAAGAATGCTCTAGAAAAGTAGAATTTGTTCCTGTTGGAGAAAATCCTTGTAGAATGAGCATCCCATTGAAAGAGGTGAAGAAGAGACAGTCTACTTCAAAATTGAAAAGAACAATTGATTCCGGAGAAACCGACAATGATGAGGATGATTCAGATATATGGTTGAAAAATATGGTGGATAGATATGAAGGAAGGCCTGATCTTGATGTTTTTCAAACAATGTGTCTTGCAAAATTTTGTTCAGAATTTGCTGTTCTAGCTGAATCACAATTGCCTCAGAAAATCAATGAATCAACAACATTTAAACTGGACAATAATCTAGGTTACATCAGGAGGAGGACGAAAACAAAACCAGCTGTAATTAGATATCCGAGATTTTCCATAGAAACGGCAAAGGAGAAGTACTTTCAAAGTATTTTGCAGTTGTTCCTGCCATACAGAAATAGAACACAACTGAAGCCAAAGAAGTTTCAATCATATGAAAATTTTTATGAACAAGGATACGTTAAGTATTCGAAAGAGGAAAACTTGTCATCAGTCAAACAAGTTGTTGACAACAATATGTCAGAATTTGTAAGGGATGGGCAAAACTTAGAGGAAGCAGAAAGAATATTCGATGCTCAAGGTCCACAGGAAGATGCTTGGTGTGAAATGTGTCCCGAATCAGAAGCAAATAGAATAGAATGCATAGAAGAGGGGAAAATTACAACTGTAGAGGAGGTTGAACTTTCAGAGCAACTAGTACCTGATTTAAATAGAAAAGACAAGCTTGGTTCTAAAGGTTCGAATCTTCTTTCATCAGTTTTCCCAAAGAATGAAATAGTGCCCCTTCTTCGTACATTGAATTCAAAACAAAGAGATGTGTTTTACCAAGTGAGAGATTGGTGTATCAAAAAAAAGAATGGACAAAATCCACCACCGTTTCATGTTTTTGTTACTGGTGGAGCAGGTACGGGGAAAAGTCATTTGATAAAATGCATTTATTATGAAGCAAACAGGTTGTTGGCTCACATTTCAGAAAACCCTGATGATTTAACTGTTTTGTTGACTGCCCCAACTGGCACTGCAGCCTTCAATATCAATGGATTAACGATACATAGCGCTCTAAGTATATTCAAGTCCCTTTCATTGGACCATGCACTGCTCAGTGAAGAAAGAATAAATAGTTTGAGATCAAAACTGGAGAACCTTCAGATTCTTATCATTGATGAGATATCTATGGTAAACAAAAGACTTTTGTTTTTTGTCCACGAAAGACTGCGTCAATTGAAAAAGATGCCGGAAAATTGTTCATTTGGAGGTGTTTCAATCATTGCAGTAGGCGATTTTTATCAGTTACCCCCTGTAAGAACGAAACATACTGATAAGTTGTATGTAAATGACAATTCCAATCCAATGAATCAGTTATGGAATGATCTCTTCACAGTTGTTGAATTAGATGAAATAATGAGACAACGAGAGGATGGAATATTCGCAGAACTTTTGAACAGGTTGCGTGTAAAAAAAGCAAATGAGACTTTATCGGAAGTTGATAAACATACACTTAAACAGTGCATCAAGGAGGGTCCTGCTGAGGCATTGCATATATTTGCTACAAACGCCGAGATCAATGCATACAATAATGAGATGATATTCAAGGTCTGTGCTGAGCCTAAGTTAGTCGAGGCAGAGGATTATGAGAAAAAGAGAGAATCGGGGACACTGATTAAGAGAAAAACACACTTCACAAAAACTGACATTTGTCTCCCATCTTCAATTTTATTAGCAGAAGGAGCAAGAGTTATGCTAATTAAAAATGAGGATGTTCAAGATGGCTTAGTCAATGGAGTGATGGGAACAGTTATGCAAATTAGAATGTCTTCAAATTCCAAACTTCCAGAAGCTATATTTATTCATTTCGACAATGAGAACGTTGGCAAGAATGCGGATTTGCAGAAGATGATCAATCAGAAAAGATGTGTTGGATTACGTCCTTCTAGTGAAGAAATTACCATCAAAAATGGTGTTAGAAAACAATACCCTTTGCAACTAGCATGGGCCTGTACAATTCACAAGGTTCAGGGTTTAACTGTAAAAGAATGTGTAGTTGACCTGAAAAAATGCTTTGCACCTGGTCAGGCATATGTTGCTTTAAGCAGAGTTACATCTATTCAAGGGCTTTACTTGAACGAAATAGATATAGAGAGGTTAGTCCAGAAAGTTCGTTGTGATCCTGACATTGAGGGTGCAATTTCTGCAATGCACAGATTTCTACCTTTACCAGTTAATCCTGAAAAAAATGGCCAGTGTGTAAAATTATTGTACCACAACATCCAAGGATTGCAAAATCATATGAAAGATTTAAAGTGCAACAGAGATTTCAGAGATGCAGATATTATTTGTCTTACAGAGACATGGCTAGATTCAAGGTCAGATAAACCAGAATTAGAAGAGTTCAGTGCAAGCCATGTGACTAGAGCATCAGTTTTTGATAAAAGTTGTGCTTTGTATAAAGAAATTGCAGAAATGCAGCATGGAGGTGTGAGCGTGTTTTACAGACTTGGAGTTGAGCATGAAGAAATCAGAAATGTAACAAGAAATTTGGAATGTCTTGTTTTCAAAATCACAACGATTCAAACTACTGTTGCCATCATATATAGACCACAAAGATATCCAATAGAAAAATTCATGGAAAACTTGAAATGCTTATTAGACTGTTTGGAGAGCTCATCAGAAAGAATTGTTGTTATGGGAGATTTTAATCAGGATATCATGACAGGCGGAAAATCCATACTTAACTATATGGAAGCAAGGGGATTTAGACAATGTGTTCAAAGTTCAACAACTGAAAATGGGACACTGATTGACCATGTCTTTGTGAAAGAGTGTCCTCATGTACAAGTGTTGATAGTACCTACATATTACAGCTATCATGAAGCAGTTGCGGTATATCTTGATATTTGAATTTAAAAACTCAAAAGTTGTCTACCAAAAATCATCACTATACATTCAAAATTGTGACAGGAAAGTTTTTCGCGAAAATATGTTGTTGTCTTAAACAATCCAGAATATATATATATGAAGGTTTGGAAAGTTTGGAAAAGCAAATGAAAGAAATGCCAGAAAAACACGAGAAAGAAATGTATTAATTTGGAGAGTTTGGAAAAGCAAATGAAAAAAATGCATGAAATGCATGAGAAAGAAACGTTTTAATAACGTTGAAATCATTGAACATAGTCTTGTTTTCAAGGGCTCTCTGAGAATAAAATTGAAATTTTTTAGATGCCTGAACAATACAGTTACTTAGTATATGAAAAAAAATATATTAAAAGTGTAGGCAATTCTGTTTAGATGAAGTGTTAATTTTCTTGCTCTTAAGTATTAAAGTATTTGAAAGGGATTTGTTGTTTACATTTTGTTTCTCTAAAGTTTGAAAGATATTAGGCTTTAAAGTTTTTTAAAAAAATGTCGGAACAGACAATAATGTAAAGTAAATGTTGAAAACAGAGACTGGATATCCCAATTTAATTAGTTCGATGCCTTATTAAAAAAAAAATAATGTAACTCCGCCATTGCCGGTCCCAAGCCCGGATGAGAAAGGAGGAGGGTTGAGTGTAGGGCCAATAACCCCACCTCGTAAAAACCACATATGCTACAGAAAGGACTACAAGGAACTCTATTTAGGTCTTTCCACCTTTCCGTGGAAGGACCTATTGATTTCCTTCTGTATCTTTTTTTATTATCTTTTTTCCGCCGTGTGATTTTGATTAAGAGAATAAAAAAGGTGGAAAGACCTCTTATTGTTCTGAGAACAATAAGTCTCCTAGTTATGTTCCCCAACGAAGTTTGGGAACATATTGTTTTTACTCTGTTTCTTATTATTATGTTCCCCAAACGAAGTTGGGGAACATATTGTTTTTACTCTGTTTCTTATTATTATTATTCTTATTCTTATTATTATTATTTTTCTTCCTGGGAAAATTTTGTCCGCGAGTGATCTTGTAAACTACACATTCGACTTAGGTGAAACCTTTTTAGGGTAAGTAGGCATGTTATGTAGATTTGCGGAATCAAGGTCATTTTGCGCGCACGTGCTTGCAAGAGCGCGCACGTGCAAAACTTGAAATGACCAATATATAATGGATATAACCGTAACTTTTCTATTTTTAGACAAAATGTTTTGAAACTCATAATGTAAGGATATATGAGTAGTATGCACAAGATGACATGGTCAAAATAGCAAGATCGCACGAGCAAGCACGTGCGCTTCGCTCTGATTGGCTGAAACTAAAGTCTCAATATCTTTCTTGTTTTTTGATAAAATCATTTGAAATTTTGAACATAGTCATACATTAGGGAGATCTACAGCCCGTATTAAAAAAAATATCATGAAAGCATGTGCATGCACGTGTGCTTGCAAGAGGTCGCACGTGCAACACGAGAAATGTCCAATATAATTGATACAGACGTAACTATTTAAATTATTGATGATATGCTTTAAAACTCATATTAGAAGTATATACTAGAAGCATAGACAAGATGACATGGTCAAAAAAGCAAGATCTCACGCGCATGCACGTGCGCTTCGCTCTGATTGGCTGAAACTTAAGTCTCAATATCTTTCTAGTTTTTTGACGAAATCCTTTGAAATTTTAAACATAGGCATGTATTAGGATATCCTACAATAATATATGTAGCAATTATCATGAAAACGCGTGCATGCACGTGCGCTGCAATCTGATTGGCTTATGCTTTAAATAGCTATAACTCCCTTGATTTTCAACCAAACAGGATGGGATTTGGAACATTGATAGATATAATAGATTTCTACAAGAATATATGGTCAACATGCACATGGATACATGTGCATGTACGTGCGCTGCAATCTGATTGGCTGAATCTTTGAACAGCTATAACTCCCTTGGTTTTCAACCAAACAGGGTGGGATTTAGAACATAGACAGATGTAATGGACTTCTACAAGAAAGTATGGTCACCATGCTCATGTGAGCACGTGCGTGCACGTGAAATGAGTAAAATAAAAAATACACTTGAATTAGCGTATTTTTAAATACTTTTGGATCAAATACTTTGATATTTAGTATATTAAAATCTAGAGATTGTTAAGACAAGATTATATGGTCATTACGCACGTGCATTCACATGCGCACGCGTGCAATGCTAAAATTTGAATGAAATTGGTACACTTCTGGGTAAACGTTGCTAAAGTCTCAAATGCATAGTTTGTCTTATT